ATTTTATTATTAGTAGTTATATTAATATTATTATTTTTTCCTATAGTATTTATATATTTAAAGATATTACTATTAGGTAGGCTTAAGGCTTTTATAGTAGGCCTATTAGGTTTACTTATAGTAACTTAAAGTATAGTAACTTTATTTTATTACTTACTATATAGGGTAGTAAAAGCTATATTATAGTTATTATATTAAGGAATTATTATATTAAGAAAAGATACTTCTATCTTATAAGCTAGGTATTTTAAGTAATAGATTATAGATTATAAGGTATTTACTATCTAAGGTTAAAAAGGCTACCTGCTAATGTACTTGCTATAGGCAAGGGTATTATAAGGGTATCTAGATAGTTAGTTTAGTTCTGTATTTTAGTGTTACTAATAGCTTCCTTAGCAAAAGGTGCTAAGAAAGTGGTATGTAGGAGGGAAGTAAGAATATATGAGCCTAGGTAAGCCTATACTTGTACAGGGTACTTCCAAGCCATCCATGCAATCCAAGACTGGAATCCACTTATCAAGATGCTTACAATCCCAACCAAGATCGAGATACCAACAGCCAGTAGAGCAATAGAGAAGGCATTACCATCGGTACTTCTACGGTCAAACTAACGTTCCAGTTTGTTTCGTGGCGGCCGTTTCTTCGCAAGCTCATACAACCTGGCAATCCGCTCTCCCCAGTACATATATCTCATCCCCTTGTGGAAGACATTATAGCCATCGTATTCGTAGCATTCAGGGTCAAAGCCATTCCTGCTGATCAGTTTCCGGAGAATCTTCTCGGAACGATGATCTCTGAGTGGGAAGAGGATATCTTGCAACGAATGTAAAGTCTCAAACAGAAGCTGGGGCGGCAGAGTTACACTGTCGTCAATATTAGCTACGAAATGATTCTCCCGTTTGTAGTGGGCAAATTGGATGAGTATACCGGCCTAGACTTTCTAGCGCAGTTATATCCAAAGGGCTTGAATGGCTTTGAAACTGCTCTAAATGTGCTTTCAAGTAGGCCACCTGATGGAAGAGATAGAGCGTGTTATCCTTCTCGTTGAAAAGGAGGTGACATGAAAGGTCATTTGTTGGCAGAAAGCGAATCTCCAGCCGTTTTTTCAGCTTCCAAGCTTTGAGCTTTGACTTGTGACCAATGATGTCTTCAAACCGGCTACACGATTGATCAGAGGCACGGGGAATTGATCTTTCGATGAACGAAACAAATGACTCTTGCGACAGCCAGGAAATAGGTCGGTATGCTCCAAGAACGAAGTTTGCAGGGTGTCATTCTTGAGCCGCCGAGTCAATCATCACCATTGCTTGTACTGCCCTGTTGATAATGTTACCGACGTCCTCTCCAACCATCTCGTTCTCATGAGAAATTTGGTTCATGGTCTCTTCTTTTGTCTTTTGTGCGTTATTTCTGAGCAGGATAGCAGTCGATAGTACATGCCGATGGGTTGGTGAGGAGGAAACATAACTGCAACTAAATGTGCTTTCCCTTAGGGCTAGTTCATCGAAGAGCGTGAAGTAGGCTTCAAACTTGCCCTTTCTTCCGAGAAGTCTGAGAGAAATCTCATCTTGCTCATCGGGTGTTGTTAGTCTCATTTTCGCTACAAGGAAAATGGATTGAGCAAAATGTCGCGATTCCCGAGGATCAGGATATTAAATATTCGTTTCTCAGGCCAATATTTAACGGCGGAAATGCTACCTGCACTTCATCCCACCACTCCAAAGTTCGCCCATTCCGCCTGTCAGCATTGCCTCGAGGACCACAAATCCCAATCTGACCGCGGACATGTTTCACTATTCGATTGGCCACCCGTAAAGCCTCGTTGGGTATCGATACATAATCACAATTACAATGTAATTGTCAGTTGAGCCTCAAAGCCCAAGATAGTAGAGAGTCCTGGCTGCAATATGTCGCCCCGTCAGTTATCGATCTCTGCACATCTTTCTTTGACTTCATTCAACTTCTAGAAATCAGACATGCGTCCATACCATGGTATGGGGGCTTCCAAGTAACGAGCACACTTCTTTTAAGGATAAACTTGCACTGAAGTTCAAGACTTTATTTGAGAAGGGTTTTCAGAAAAGTAAAAGGTCCGAGGCGATCCGACCATTGCAGGGCCCTACAGATATCCATCGAACACGCATTTCCCAGAGCCTGAGACAAACACACCGAAGGGTCACAGTTCAAGCATTCTTATAATCTCAGTCCACACAATCGGAGCCTTTTGAGCCGCGAGAAGCAGCACCTCAGGTGTTCCAGCAATCTTCATATCACACTGGCATACCACCCATTGCAGATTCTTCACGCCAACACACAAACACATGCGTCAAGGCGCTTCCTCCCAGTCGCAATATGATCTTTTACGACCTTCCAGTGTCCTCGGCGACATACTCTGCAGAAGAGTTCCGAAAAAGGTTTCGATACGTCACAAATGAGTTGAGGAAGGTTGTCACTGAACATAATGAACTTCGCATGTGCGGTCGACATATCAACTATAGTTGCCACATGATTGGCGACTCGAGGGATACGGCCTTACCCTCTATACTTATAGAGTGTCGAGAAAGAGATCTCAAGATGTTGAGAGAGCTCTTCAACAAGTATGCTACGACACTTTGTTGTCGCAAGGACTCAACTTGGCCTATGCTGGTACATCACGATCTTCCATCGTCGAAATCGTCATTCCAGCTTGTCTATTTATCGCACGCATATCACCCTATAATTCAGCACGCGGCAAACACACCACTACCAGTAAGCAACTCATCCAGCGATACATTCTGCGGTGCTCTGGTCCAGTATGAGGGTCGCATTGCCACTATCGGCCTGACATTTATCGTCGACGGCATAAGTCACATGATGACTGTCGACCATCTCTTCAATAACAGTTTGGGAGATGAGAATTCGCTTTTTGCTGTGATGATGAGCCAATTCATCGCAGCAACTCTAGGGGGAGTTCAAGAAGCACGCGTAACGACACTTCCGTCACTCCACCAAACCCTCATACAGATCAAGAAAAGCAGAATTTGGACTTTGGTCATAGCAGCATCCCTGAGAGTCCGTCACAAGAGAGTCTCAATGCATCATACACGAATGACGGCTCTCAATCTTGTCTTGCAGAGTGCCCAGTGGGCCAACCCATTCCTCTCCCACATCCATTGGATCCCCCAGCACCATACCTGGACTGGGCATTTGTTGAATTGAACAGCTCTTCAGCCAGCTTCCAACTACCTAACATTATCACCCTAGACTCTACTTCGAGCCCTTTACTCCTTCGCCAAGTTGCGAAACACCCGCTTTCTCATACCACATCGGTGTACATGATTTCGGGAATAAATGGCACAAGAAAGGGCTGCCTATTCGGTGGCTTAAGTGAGCTTGGCCCATTACTAGATCGAAGTCCATGTAGAGCCTGGAAGATGAGACTAGACTCTGATCAAGGTAAGAATGTGTCTGAGCCTTGCTCAACTATGACTAAATCAATATATTAGGTCTCGAACCAGGAGAGTGCGGCTCGATCATTGTTGACCGGACTACGTTCGATATATATGGCCATGTTATCGGCTCCAACATCATCGGTGATGTTTTCGTTGTTCCACTCTCAGACTCTATTGAACAAATCCGAGCTGCCTTTAATGCAACCACTGTGACCCTTCCCTCCCAGAACCTTATCCTGCCACTTTGCAACTTATCTGAAGATACCATGACAACCCAGGCCAGGCTTTATCCTAATAAATTACACTCAGCCGCTGCGCACACTCATATTCACTCCGGTGCTGCAAAACGCTCTCTGGGATCCTCTCCACTGGCACAGATGTGGAGGCGTCCAGAGGATCCGAGAAGCCACAGCGGCCAGTTCCGCAGGTTTCAGACACCCTTTTATCCAGACGAGGAGGACACTTCACTCCTGAAAACTTTGAATGAGGCAGGAGCAGGAGTGCTCGATGATGAAGTGGAAGTTCCAACCCTTCTGTTTTGCCACCCGTATACAAGGTTTACAGAACGAAGCATAGAGCGTATACAAGACTTTTGCTGTGGTGCTTCTTTCGCTCTGGACAAGTTCGTATCTCTCCCGCAGAGCTCAGGTCCATACGCCAGCTCAGATGCCAGGGTCGTGGATTCTAGCCTAGAAATTCCGTATTACGCGGTTGTCACTGATGTAGGTTGGTGCCAGAAGACACTTTCCTATACCAGTCGAGACAAACCACTTGCATCAAGCCTCAGGCTAAACGAGATATTGAAAGAGAAGGTATGTGTTCAAAAATCTTATCAACTTGGAGAAAGGATTTGTGACTTATTTTCCAAGCGATTTCATCAATTAGGACCAGATCCAGGCCCGACCTTGATATAGCAACTCAGACGAATGTACGCAACGAATAGACATCGTAACATGTCACTGGGCTGACAGCTGGAAATAGTTACATCCATAACCCAGATGGGGCTAGTATCATGGCTCTCATCAGGACCATGTCCTGCCGCCAAGTAGCCATTCTCCGCCCAATGATCATGTCCTATGTGACGACAAAGATCAACCCGTGCATACAGATCAATGAAACCGTAAGTTAATTTGGAATCAAAATTATAACGCATTATAACTAACAAGCCTTTATTATAGCAATGGTGGGGATCACGTCAGCATCATCTCAGGTTTCAATTTCCCTTCTTTACACTCATTTCTGAAGGCTATAATGACCCCCGAACCGTGTCCAAGACTGGAGAGCCATTCAGAACTCGATTGAGCTTTTCCTTTCTTGCCGAAAGCCATTCGGGGTCCTTGTTCCCCCAAGATAGCCAAGCCAGTCTCTGTGAATCAGTAATCTCATTTGGGATCGCTGTACATAGTATTGGTTACTGGGACGTATACTGCTTTGAAGACGGTGACACGAGTATATCGATTTTTGGATTTGACTTCGAGGATGACGAATTTGGTTCCAAAAGCGATTTTCAAACACCTGGAGAAATGCTCAGACACTCCCCCCGAACCTTTTTCTTGCACACAATGACTTTGAGTCTCGACCGTGTGCTGGACCAGCACGCCCTGATCTTGGAAGTATTCCAGGACTTTGTCAAGAGGCAAGCGCGTTACTTATCGGTAAGTCTTTTCTCTGGCAAATTTGTGATGGATAAACAGGACTTGGATAAATATTAACTTACTCCCAGAAGAGTGCTAAACAGCGGAATGAATTCACAGACAACAGTCATCGGCTAAAAGAAGTCCTCCGTCAAGTGCTCAATTCGATAACAGTTCTGACATGTAATGTTCAAGAATTCTTATCCAATGATCCCAGAAAGGACCTTGAGGACGTCCCCAACGGCGGTGACTTTGCTGATGGGAGTAAGCCAAATGACATGGAAACACTCCTTCGTCGCATAAAATCGTTATATGGTCAGCTGCATGACGTTCAGCTCGCCTACCAACAACTGGAGGCGAAATTGACTTCGATAAGTTTTATGCAGGAAGAGCTAGTGAAGATACGTCGTGATAGAACTCTCAAACATATCACGATGGCAGGATTTATCCTGGGAATTTTCAACCTTATAGCCCAAATCTATGCAGCCCATCCATGGGCGTAATAGCAAATGAGTACCTTCCTACTGTTGACGGATAGCTCCATTCAATTGTTGATATTATATACTCCACCTTATCTGGCTTGCACCACACAGACTTCAATTATTACCTTCATAGCCATGTTTCCGTCATCATAAATTCATATCCTTGTGGAACCTAAACCAGTTGATCGCTTTCCATGGCTTACTATCAAAAGCTGACGAGACATAGCAAGATTGAAAACCATAAGCATTGATGGGATGTAGCGATGACTGATAATCTGATTACTACAAAGTCCCCAAAAATGAATCATTTGACGTAACGTTGAGATGTCCGTGTTTGTGGTATTCCTAAATAGGCATAGACGATTCACCTTACGTACGGTTCGTGTTAGTAACTCTGGCTGCGATAAAGACTAGTAATTGAGTTATTTGTAAAGAAAAATTTCCCACTGGCCGATACTATTAGAAATCATCCATTAACTCGATTTTGATGAGTATTGAGGCGGAGAAATCTGGTTTTGAGTTTCTGAGCGGAGATGGAGGTCGGAAAATCGGGCTGTTGCTCACCGAGATATATCAACCTGCCCAAGCCCCTCTCAGGTGTACTCGGTCTGCTATGATAGTTCTCCCATCACTTGATTTATCATAATGCCTTCAAGAACGACTGAGACGCCAAATGAGTGGTCTGAATCGGCGGATATCATCTCACGGTTCTTGGCTTTGCAGCAGATTTACAGCGCCAAAGAACTAGACTCTTATCTCCAGTCGCTGCGACACAGCAAAGAGCATGAACCAGATTCCGAGAATCAATCAACTGATGTCATCATACTTTGCGCATCCGCTATCTTGGCTATTCCCGAAGCCGTCTTTGAGTGGGCGGTGCAACAGCAGAAGAAATACGAGGACAGGCAGAGAAAAACAGTACTGGTGTTATGTGGAGGCATCGGACCTTGCACGCCATTCGTTTACGACGCCATCAGAGCGAGCAAGAAATACTGCACGATATTTGAGACGATAAATGGCAAGCCTGAAGGCAAGGTGTTGAAAGTCATGGCGGAACGCCTCTATAAACTCAAGATCGACCAAAATGGAGATCAAGACAAGGGCTTCCGGATCTTGGTATCTGATCGCTCGAACAACTGCGGAGCAGATGCATCAGAGGCACAAAAAGTCTTGGGGGAGAACGGTATTCGATCTCCAAGATCTATGGTTGTTGTGCAGGACCCAGCCATGAGCAGCCGGACAATATCTTCGTTTCAAAAAGTCTATGAGAATGATACCGTCCAGATTTCTTGCTGGCCTCAGCTAAAGGAACCAAGAGAGTCTCAACAAGAAAAGGCGCTGCCTGGAAAAAATGTCCGAAGGGAACTTTGGTCTATGGATCGTTTTCTAGACAGGATCATTGGGGAGCAGGGTGGAGTTGTCAGAGCGAAATCACCTACTGGCATTCCAAACGAGGTGGAAAATGCGTGGTCAGCGATAATGGACGAAGCAACTCAAAAGTCTTTTCATAGAAAATAATATCATAATTCTCATTCTATCTTCGGGTGCTGTTGAGAATATTTGATATTGGCCGGCAAAGATTCCGGTTGTGACGTCAATAATTCACATAATATCTCACATCGGCGTTGTCCGAGATGCAGATATCAGATCAGGCTGCGAGATTATTTTCCGTTTCACAACGTCACATGATACGCATCATCCTCAACCTAACTCCACTGATTAGATCCTCCCTAAACGTTCTCGAACCATCCCCAGAAGCAACTTTTCTTCCCGGTCCCGGGCCATCTCGCAACACCATGGCATCACTACGCCGTTTCAGCCTCGTCTTCTACGTCCCACCCGCCAACGCCTCCGCATGCAAAGCCGCTATTTTCAAAGCCGGCGCGGGCCGCTATCCCGGTCCTGGCGGCTGCACTGAGTGCGCGTGGCAGACATCGGGGATTGGGCAGTTTAGACCGGGAGATGCGGCGAATCCGGCTATTGGGAAAGTTGGGGAGTTAGAGGAGACGCCGGAAGTCAGAGTTGAGACGTTGATTGTGGGGGAGGAAACGGTGCGGAAGGCTGTTGCGGCGTTGAAAGAGTAAGTTCTGAGGTTTATGAGGATGATAAAGGCTGATTTTATAGGGCGCATCCGTATGAAGAATGTCCATACCAGGTCTATCGGGTAGAGGACTTTTAATAAAGATACCTATGTTTGGTGGGTACGGTGGCAAAGGAATCCATGAGCATGTTGTCTTTGGACGCAACGAGATTCGATCGTTTACGACTCGCGGATGGAATGAGTTACTTTTATCATTGAGGGCATTCATCTCTATCGTCTTGGCAACTGTAATTCAAATTATATCAAACTGAAGAATCCGAAATTAGGGTATTATCAAAAACCAAGTCTCTCTATCGCCATTTTTCGTGATCTTGACCCGAAGTTCCAACTTCATGCAACGAGAACCTTTGTCTGTGGTAGAAGGGTCGTCCATCTCTCTCCAGGCTTTCTACTCCACATCCTCTTCAACGCCTCAATACCCTTCAACAAATTTCCAAACCCACTTCTCGCATGATGTCGTCTCAAAACATTCTCGAAATAAATCTTGTGCTCTTCAAGCTGTGCATCCGACGCCGCCACAAAGGTCGTCCAGACCAACATATGCGCCACTGGGGAAGTTTCTGGAAATTGTTCGAGTGCCTCGATGAAGCGCTGCACGCGTGCGACCGACTCGGGATTGGTGGGTATGGGGTCAAAATCGAAGAAGTTGGAGGTGTGATCGGAGAGGACTTGTTGGAGATAGATATCTCGAGCTTGATAGACTAGACTTGAGACTTGCGAGAAGAGTGGTGCATGTTCTGGGTACAGCTGGAGACAGTGGTTGAGACAACCGAAAAGTTGGTCTGTTCGAGCTTGTGATGAGATCGTCTGTAGACCTGTTTCTTCTCCAAGATGTGGGGCAGCATATACTCGGATCCTATTTTCCTGTTAGAATGTCTGTGATTCTTCGAGGTGAAGTTGTGTGGACTTACTTGTGAAGCTCACGCATGATAAAACCAGCCAGTATGCCAGTACCCAGCCCTTCCTTTCCCCCGATAGCGTCCAGCGCTGACTCGAGCATCCGAAGAAGAACAGGAAAGTCTGAACCACCTGTGACAAGTACAGATGTCATCAATAATAAAAGACTAATTAGAACAGAGTGCTGGGTAGTTTGGTTGTTGGATACAAGTTCTTGACGTTGTCGCAGGCCCTGAAGCGTTCGGCCCAGAAGTTGATATGGATCTGGCACGTAAGAGTCATATGTGTTTGTCCCGAAAGGGGAGTACTGCTTCTGGTTCTTCTTGAAATTATTGTCGAGCTTGTTGATGTGGAAGTGAAAGGCCGAGACTGTGAGGACGGCGTCCATAACCAGTTCGTCTTGTTGAGCGAGTGGAAGAAGGAGGTGGCGCCAGTCATTGTGAAGGCCGTCTATGGCTACCATCTCCGTGGATATGCAGCGCGAGACTGTAATGTGTAAGTATCTGGAGGAAAGAAGTGGAGTCTGGACTTACATGTCATGAATAGGTTCCTTTTCCATGGTGGTATGTTGTCCGGAACTCCTTTCAAGAAGAGTGTCATGAAAATTTCACGGTCTGCGGGTGCTTGTGAATCTGCTAGCACAAGATCGTAGATCTCATTGTCCGATGTGATATACTCAATATCGTCGTCTTGTTGATCATCATTGTCATCATGATGCGGTTCCGTGGTTTCCGGGTTTGTATCTGCGGCTGACCTTGATGCCGATGATGCTGATGCGTCCCTGTCAGCTGAAGAGACTTTCCATTCATTCCTGTGATGAAATCAGTATCTCGTTTGGAAACATGAGGGTGAGATTGTGCATACTCCTCATAAACCCTGTCGATAGTCTTGCCAGCCCACTTTCCTCTCGCAGCAACACCCTTGTTGAACCGATGTCGAATACCAAGGCCGCTACAACTTAAGCCCCTAGAAGTACATTTATTGCAGCTTGGCTCATTCCTATCACAGTGAATACGCCGTTTCGAGCATTCATGGCAACCTAGTGACACGTTAATACCCTGCCAAGAAGAAGTGAGGTTGTACTGACCCTTCGTCTTTGGTACATATGCACGTTTTTTGGGCGGCATCGCAGGCATCGGATGGAACCGAGATTAGCTAAGCTGATCGACGCTCCGCGCACAAAACTCGTTATCTCAGGGGAGATAGTACCTGGTACTTGCGTGGCTTGGAAGAGCAAAGGGAAATTCCTCTGCGTTTAGAATTTTGCAAGCATCAAGTCAATGAGGATCCGGGAATCTATGGCCGACGTTGCGGGGAATCTGTTGGAGCTTTGGCTCCGCAAACGCTAATCAAAGTTGGGGCAAACGCTAGGCCAGAATAGGAGGGTTGAATGAGAGCATGTGCTACACATGCGAACAGAAAACAAGGCAACGTGGTAGGTTAGTGGTTCGCAGGTCTTTCACTGCAATTTTAACACGCTCTGGAGCTTCCCAGCTTAGCCAGTCAGACAGCGAGGATGCAACTATGTATATGCATCTGTGAAGGGCATTTTACTGCAACTGCCATGCATAGATACGGAATTGAGGCAACGTTCCCAACAAGTCAAGTAACCTCGGTAATAGCTTCAAGTCTGTAAGTCTATGTCGTAGACTGCCGCCCATGAGGTTAAAAAGATATCCTTAGGTTTAGAGTAGGTCTTATTGTCCTCATCTTATCTTAGCCTATTAGTCAGCCGGAAGATTGGCCAGCCCAATTAGGATACTTTCCTTAAGTCCTTCAATCCAATTTATTTCTGATTCGCTAGACTCAGTTGAATCCAAGTCCACCTCTAATTAAGCTTGGGTAGACTTGAGGCCATCTTCACTGCAATTTTAACACGCTCGGGTCCAGGGTCTGTGGCAGTTTCAGTATTCGCTGGCTGGTGTTAGTCTAATTATACAGAGTAGAAAACTAGAATATTTATAATTTCTTTTTATTTTATATATATATAATTAATAATAAAGATTTAGTATATATAAAGTTTTAAATTTAAAAAAAAGATATTTATACTATAGCTAATATAATATATATAGATTAA